TACCACCAGGAGTGAAACACAAAACACACTGTGTGTAACTGTCTAAAACACAGACAGTCACTACAACCAGGAGTGAAACACAAAACACACTGTGTGTAACTGTCTAAAACACAGACAGTCACTACAACCAGGAGTGAAACACAAAACACGCTGTGTGTAACTGTCTAAAACACAGACAGTCACTACAACCAGGAGTGAAACACAAAACACACTGTGCGTAACTGTCTAATACACGGACAGTCACTACAACCAGGAGTGAAACACAAAACACACTGTGCGTAACTGTCTAATACATGGACAGTCACTACAACCAGGAGTGAAACACAGAAAACAAGCTTATTTTACATGGAAAACTACAGAAATCCAAAATGAAATATTCGAACAAATGAAATTCAAATTTTATAACATACCCAAAACAAAGTTAATAAATACATGCCTGTCCAGGACTTGATACTAACATTAATGAACAATACAGCATATAAATCAGGATTAATTATTATTTCAATAAATAAAGGAATGAGAAAAGAACCAGACAATGTAAAAACCTAATTCCATATTAACAACATTCTGTATTTAAACAACTACAAAATCACTAACAACCTCAGTAACGATCAGCAACCAGCACTCTTCAGCTATATCTCCTGAACTAATTTGTTGAAGCTCATGGCAGGGTTTTTATTCAGTTGTTAGATCATGATATTACATCTCATGTGACCATAACTTTACATAATTTTTTCAAAACATTAAAAATATCTGTACGTCACCACTAGGGGAACTGGTGTCAGTCTCATAATACATACATACTTACTCAAAACCATATTAATGAGCTAAAAGGTGTGTTAGCACTTTAATTAAAAGGTGTGTTAGCACTTTAATGTACCTCAAAATTAAACGATAGAAGAAATGATAAATGAATGGTAAACAAAACCATAATGAAGTAAAAATATAATTCACATAAATGTAACCAGAACATTTTACTGCTTATCTTTGAGAATTTTATTAGAAAAAATAATAATTGTGAAGAACTCATGTTACTTTATTCTGTAATAAAAAAGGTTATAACTTACTTTATAACCATGTGTATGATAATAATAAAGGCTATAACTTACTTTATAACCATGTGTATGTATAATAATAATAAAAAGGCTATAACTTACTTTATAACCATATCATCCTTGGGATTATGAGAAGCAGTAACCATGACTCCAGCAGCACACCCTAGCTGCAAAACTCCAAATGGTACAAAGGGTGTTGGTGTGATGTCAGAATAC